GCTACTGGCTACAAACTGTACATTTTAAATTGGCATTCTTTCTGCCATCTGCCCTTCACTCTAAAGAGCAACAGAACTGTAGCATATAATCATATGAGATCACCACCTGAATCTGAAATTGTGTAGTCACAGGCTCACCTCTGAGCCCATCACCTGCATAGCTAATAAGTATGAAATTGCAGCCCAGGAAAGGGACATCCCTGTAAGTACAGTACATTAAGTAATATCTATAATCCACATGAACAGCTTACTCTACCACTAATCAAAAGTAAAATTGTAACAAACATGTAATATTTCCATGGTTTCACTGCCATTTATTTTCATTTCAGATAAAAATTGGTTTTACATTAACATAAGCCAAAATAATGGAAGGTTAATTCAAACAGACAGAAATGCTAGGTACTGTACAACAAAAGCTTTGTCTAAGACTTGAATAAAGTTTCTTTTATATACAGTACATCAGTGCTGGCAGCTCAAAATATTAGCAGCAATATTTACCAAGTTTTGCTATCAGACAAAAACAGGAATCTACATTTTTACATTATATTTAAGAATTAAATTTAATAAATGTCAAGTGTTCATTTTCACTTTGATTATCCAATTTATTGTAATTTTAATGAATCTTATAGAACACTAACTTCATAAGTGTATACACTGGTTATCAAAAGTATTCACTGCCCTTGAAACTACAAATTCTATTGTAATATGGAATCAAAGTATTTAACTGGGATTTTTTTGCCATCAATTGGCAAAACACTCCATATATCAAAGCAAAATAAATATTCTACAGATCACCCTAACATAATAAATATAAAACAGAACACGTTTTCAACTCCTGCATTTTGACACTCAAATAGGCTCTGGTGCAACCAGCTGCCTTTAGAAGACAATTAATTGAAGTCCACCTGTTTGCAACGAAGGTGTTTCATGAGTTCCCATCTCAGGGAAGTCCAGTTTAGTGCAACACTGAACAAACTTTCAAAGTACTGTAAATCTGGGATAGGGGTATTGAAAAGTACCAATTATGGGAAGGATACAAGAAAAATGTCCAAGGCATTATATATCCCTCGAAGCACAATGAAGACCATTAAAAGAAAAGCAGAAAATATGGTACAACTTTGACTGTGTGAAACAGGGCATCCTCAAAAACAGTATCCAAGCAAGAAGAGTAAAACTAAGGAAGGCCACCAGGAAGCCTATGACAACTCTAAAGGCACTCTAGTCTTCCCCATCTGAAATGGGAGAAACTATGCTTACAACTGTCCAAGCGCTTTACAATTGTGGGTTTCACCAGAGAGTGGTTATATGAATGCTGTTGATTAAATAACTTGCACCAAGTCTCAAAGTCTGTTTGCCAGATGGTATGTGGGAGACTGCAGTACAGTACTTAGCCTTTAGGCCAAAAAGGTTTCAGTGTAAGATTATGCTTGTGCCAAAACATCGTGAGAGCACCATCCTTAGGGTGAAGCACGGTGGCGGCAGCATCATGCTATGGGGACGCTTCACTGTGTTATGGCCTAGAAGATGTGAAGATGGAAGGGAAAATGGATGCAGCAAAGTAAAGAAAATCTGGTGGAAAACCTACCTCAAATCTGCAAGATATCTGGGACTTAGGATAAGAATTATCTTCCAGCAGGACACTGATCCAAAACAATAGCCTAAGCCATATTGCAGTGGCTTAAAAAAGTCAATGTACAGTACTGGAGTAACCCAGTCAAAGCCCAGATCTCAATCCACTTAATCTGTGGCAGGAGTTGAAAATCACTGTTCAGTGTTCTGCATCTAATTTGAGGGAGCTAGAGCAATTTTGCAAAGAAGAATGGGCAAAGATTACAGTGTCCAGATGTGCAAACCTGGAAGAGGCTTATCCAAGTGTCTGTGTGCCATGCAATGGACTTGCTGGGATAGGCTGCTCCCCCATGACACTGCACTGGATAAAGCAGTTAGAAAACCAATAAATCTGCAGAATTCATTTTTCACTTGACAGTGTATTGATCACTGGCAAAAAAAACCAACAACAATTAAATACGATTCCATATTGTAATATACAAGATGCAAAAGTATAAGAGCAGTGAAATACTTTTGGTAGCCACCATAAACCTTTCATTTCCCTGAAGGAAAACTTAAAGGACTGAAGATTAATTCCAGAGAATTATCATTTAGGACCAATATAAAGGCTATTACAGTAGTTTAGCCAAAGTAAAGGCAAGTATCAGCAGTACAACCAAGAAAAGACCAAATTCAGGCAATGTTTTCTCAGGTGAAAGTACAGCAAGACTTGACCAGTGTCTTTTATTTGTGCACATTAACAGAGCTCAGGATCAAACAAGACCCCCCAGACGTCTCATAGGATGGTGTAATTTGAGGCTACCATTTCCAAGTTGAATTTAATACATTGGATGCATCTTCCAAAGGATTTACCTCAGTTTTTGTCTTATTTAAATAGAGGAAAATAGAGACCATGCCTGAATTTCACTGTTTGACAGAATCTAGATGTTGCATGGAGGATCAGATGAGATGGAGATGTAATGCTGAATGTCTTTTGCATAAAAAAAAGAAAGCAGACCCCTTTTCCCCAATAAGACTACCTAATGTGAGTAAAGAGATTAAAAACAGAATAGGTTCTAGGATAGGGCCCTAAGGGACACCTGAAGAGAGTGGGACGATACTGGACTGAATTGCTACAAATTGTCCCCAGTTTGACAGCTGTGTCACATATGCATAAGATTTAAGGCAATCTACAGTAACAGAATGCAAGATCGTCCACAGCATTGAACATCACTGTAAGAACTAATACACAGTAGATCTAATACAGACCAATAGAGAACTACAGCCAGAGTCCAAGTTTAATAAAAGGTCATTTAAAATTGAAATGACCTCTGTTCTCTGAAGAGATCAACTCTTATAATAGATATTGATGTCAAAATGTGTCCTAGGTTTATTGACAGCCAAAATCTTTTACTTAAACTACACAACTGGGGAAGTTACAGGCTAAGAAATTGTTGAAATGTTAAAAATTAACGAGTCATATTTGACTATGGAAATGCACCTATTGCCCGATTCTACAACATATCCAATAAAACCAAATGATACTGAAAATTTACAAGCAATTCATAGTAGTGCCAAAATAGTTTACCACCATTACTGACATAGTATAAAATGTTTAAAAGGAGTTTTACTCAGTGAGCCAAGTAATTTTCACCTGAGTTATACATTCCTGTGCCCATTGGCAAACCTTTCTGTTAATAAAAAACAGCAAAGTAAATTATAATTTAATTTAAATGCATAAGAGTTTCCCAAAACAGAAATCAAAACAATTAATATAAGTCCCCCTTTGCGAATAAAGCCCATACAGGAGGATATGGAGGTCAAATGGGAAAGAAAACGCAAAACCGTATTGTACAAAACCAATATTATTCTATTCAACAGAATTCATTGTTCAATTGCTTAAACAGAATGTAAGAACAGTTAGTGTTCTGTAGCAGGAATGAATAAATCAGGGTTAAAATAGTTTTCATAGCATCATAGAAGCAGAAAAACCACAGTGATCATGCAAAACAGAATTGATTTTTTTGCTGCATAGTTTGGGATGCTTACTGTTTACAGCTGTATCTCAGAGTGACTCATGAATCTGAAAAGCTACATCTCCTGTACAAGAAGCACTCAAGTGCCCTGGTCTCTCCCCATGTTATTGCATTCATCATGCCATTAAGCTTATCATGCTGTCCAACTTATTTTGAAGAATGACAAGGAGACACAAAAGGGCAATAGGAGCAATGCGCATGCAGACTCTTCCAGATGATTTAAAACCTAGATTATGACTTCATTTAAGCAGACACTTGGCAGATCACGCCACACAACGGCAGTAAATTTGTGTAACCGAGTTAGATCTTCACTTTTAGATGAATAGTAAGGTTTTTGTTTTATAGTTCAAAAAACATCTTGCTGCTGCAGGTCAGGAAAAATGGACTCCTAATGAACTATAGTGATGCTTATTACTTCAAATAATCCAGTCAAACTAGAAAGATTTCTGCACATAGAATATTTGAAAGCCTGCTTTAATCCAAATACTGTACATATATTAATATCTAGAAAACCTATTTTAGGGGTCACCTACAGTATAAGCCAACTATTTACAGAAGAACCCCTGTATAAAGACTAGCTACTTACAGTATGCTCACTAATGTTTCACAAATAAGTAATAAAGCAGCAATGCAGCTTACAAGTGACTTGTAAAAATGGTAATGTATTGTATAGATTCAGTCTTTTGCACAGTGAAAAGGAAGGATAAAATTAATGTGCATTCCACATGAGCCAGGTAAAAGCAGCTTCAAATGTGCCTTCTCCAGGTTTCAGACAGTTAATCCATCTACCCACTTTTTAGGGAGACCAAAGCTATCCTGGCAAGCAATGGGGTGCAAGACATTTCTTATTAGACAAGGTACAAAGTAAAAGGGCATCAAAATAGTCCTATTATTCAATGAATGAATGGGTAAGTGTTAGTATTTAAATATGCAGGGTATACTGTTCAGTAGAACTTGCTAGAAAACAAAATCCGGCAAGAAACCTGCTGAACTACATCTGGCCCCTCCGTTGGTTGGTTTTGGTGGTGTGCTTTTGGTGAGTACATTACATTCTGGTTTAAATCCCCCACAATTTCCATTTCATCTACTTTATTAATTCAAGACGTACTGCACCAGCTCCAGCATGCAGAAAACAAACGTTTTGCTTGGTAGTTTCACAATTCACAAGTTCTGGTTAAAAAGGATTGCTTTAGTGGATTTAAACACTACTCTGGCATTTGTTTTATGCAAGCAGCAGAACAGTGTTATAATATGCATTAGACGTTTCTGAACGTGAAAAGCAAAATAAAAGAAAATGACTCATTTAAAATTATCATGCTTGTAATCCAAACCTTCAAAATTCCCCTTAGCTTCCCAGATGAAATTCGGACTGGAAAACGTTATGCAATTGAATTTGATGGCAATACAGCTTCTTACCGTGGTCTTCGGAATGTCAAGCCATACTGCTGGCAGGCCAGACCAACCGTGGGAGTATAAACAATTGGCATAAATCTTTGTGTGTCAGAAGTGAGAACTCTGTAAAAGAGTTTCTCATTCCGGTCCTGCAGGGCCATTAAAAGTACATATCTGCAAGACAGAAAAAAAACACTTTATAAAATGTACATATTCCTAAAAATGTTCATACCATGTATATTGACTACTAAGGGCTTTGCGGTCTAAATTTCTCTGGCTTTTAAGAGAAACAGCTTACTGTATATAGGTCTTCAAATTTAACCGTAAAGCTCTTGACATGAGATTAAAGTACCTAGAAATCTCAAAGTTAATCAATCTTTCAGATCAAAACTTTGCATTTCTTTTTATTTCTGGGTCCACATGTCCTACAAAACATTCCTTTTCAACTGCCATGTAATGCAATTATAAACCCACACATACAAGGCAAATACTGTATAAGGCCTCTGAAAATGAAAATGATCCCTTATATAACCAAACTATTGATTTATAAAGACAATCATTTTTAAATTTACAGGAATTGTATAGGTTGCATAAATTCCCATAAAACGGGATACTACTGTACTTCCCTGCCCTTCTAAAGTAATGAAAACCAAATTCTTCATCATATACAAGGTGTTAACAGCCTCTTAAAAATTCCAGCACTTCTGTGCATGTCTGATAATATCCTATCCAGTATTAAAGATCTAGAAGAGCTCATACCTCCAAGCAGTCAAAGCTCAGCCTCATGTACAGTAGAGGGAAAGATATGTACAGTACTGACAAATGTGTGCACATGCAGTATAATTTTAACTATACAGTTTGTCAGGGTCATAGGTAAAAATACAACCCCATTGAAATTAGGTTGCAAGAAAACTGAAAATGAAACTTCATTATAGAATTCTAATACAGAACAATATTCATTATCAAAACCCGATTTGGCTTTTTGTCCCCAGGCTTTTCAAATGCTGAGCTAACCGGTTATAAATCATCCTTTAAATCATATAGTTGCAAGCATACAATGGCCCACTTTCACAAACTTGTTTTAGCAGTGCTAGAACAAAAATAATAAAGCAGCATCTGTTCCATATGGACTGAAATCTTCCATATTACATAGAGTGCTGTAAAAAACAAGAGGATTCTTTAGCAGGATGAATGAAAGCTGAATTACTTTAGCAAAGAAATTTGTATGGAAAATGTTGATTCAACCTGAAACTCAAAATATAAAATCTTATGCAATACCCATTGACATTTATGCAGATTTCCATAGAGCACAAAACTTCACATCTTTGCAATTGTTATTTACGGACATTGAAAACAGCAATTGTTTAAGACTGCAGTCTTCCAGGAAAAAGTGTATTTCATAGTCTTTGGACAACTGGCAAAACTGAGAAGGTGATACAGCTGTAATGAAATGCCTGTGGGTCAGAAGGTGCCAGGAGACCAAGATTTTGCTCAGCTGTAAAAAAAAAAAAAAACAGGCAGTTGGATCAGACAAGGTTTTAAAAAGTGCAAACAAGTCAAAATGGACTTCAACTAACTTGTAAGACCATTAAAATTAAGATGTTGTACTTCTTGGTTGTATTTTAGTTCCATACAAGACAAATTTGCAAAATCGTAATTTGCGCTTGGTTTTAACATCATCCCTATTGTGATTAAGTGGTCACAAATTTAAAATGTTTGACTCAACCCATTTAATATCTTCATTATCACCACAAGGCAACACAAAGCAGACATCTGCTGAATACGTGTTTAAGTTACTTAATCCTAAATACGTACTGATATTTCTACAGTAGCTGCAGTTCTGTGAGCAGTGCTCTGTATGAAAGATTACATGTAGAAAACCTAATATGTATAATAGCTTGTTAGGCAAGTAAGCTGTGATTTACACCTTCTCTTAGGACTCCAATTAATTAAATTACACCAGGTCAATAAATGACAGCTGTTTAATACGCTACTACTTGAACTTGTGTAGTATCTATAGCTTTAACTCCCCTATTAGTTGCCTTGGAATCCACGAAGAGAAAATGACAAACATCCCAGTATTGACCCATTTTCCCCAACACTGAAAGTATTTTAGTATGAGCCGTTTTAGATCGTTCAGTAAAGAAGGAATCTTGTACACCAGAGTTTCCCTTGGATTTGAAATTGAGTTGAAATTGGAACTCCTTTGTATTAAGAAAAATGTTTTGCATTAGTATATAATAATGCACTACATTTTCAAGTCCTGATACAACTGTTAAACCATACACAGACATATGTTCTTAATAAGGCTTAAAATATTTGCAGTTCTCAGTATTGCTCTTCCAAAGGCCAACCTTGAAACCCATAAAGCCAATCTTGTGTTCCACTTAATTAGGAAAACAAATGCCAATCATTTCCTACTCCCCTCAAAATGTATGAAGCCTCCTCTTTATGCACCCCCCTTCACTCACACAGGTGCAGAGCAGTCTCATGGGAAGACGTTTGCAAAGGCGTTTTTCAGCCATGCTGAATACTGAATGGTTATCATTGTAATCAAATGAAGGAGGTGAGGAGGCCTTATCATGGCTAAGTCATTCCCTGCCACAGCTAATCTTCAGTATCTGTTTGACACGGGTTTGTCATGGAGTTGAGGAATTTAGTCCTCAAGGTCAAACAGGATACACTGGTTGCCAATGTGCCAGCTGCATTTAAAAGCTGAATGAATGAATCTCGGTATTAACAAAACAGAGCTAACTGTATTTATCAAGGAATATTGCTAGTTTCGCTACAGCTTTTCGCAGCCAAGAGAAAGACATGAAGAGTAATGAAACAGTAATTCTAATCTTAAAGCTTCCTCAGATGTGTGAGCTAATTCTAACATTTGTTTATATGTCTTTTTATTTGGATTCTAATTGAAAACTGGCATTCACCACTTTTAATTACACAAAGTATTGAATTACATATTAAAAATGTTGCAGTAATAAACTGAGCCACTGATCACATGATGTTTTTATATTCTTCCAGTTTAGGAATATTACTTTCCTTGCTATGGTAAAGTATTGGAGTAAACATATTTCTTGGTAGGTGGGGTGAAATCAAACAAACCATTAAAACAAGGCCTTGGGCCCTTGTTTATCATTCAGGACATTACTGTGTCTATACTGCAAGTTTGAGACATTCTGGACAGTAGGTATTTGGGGGCCTCAACCCAGACACACTTGGGGTGTACAAGAAGTCGACCTAAAATACCCCAAGTCTGAGAGGGAGCCTGCTTCTCTTGTTGTGCTGTGTTCTATCATTTTGTGGAATTTGAAGTAAAGCATGCATTATGTTTAAATTTAAAGATTGTACTTTAACCCATTCAAGCACTAAAAAGTGATTTAGCACTACACAGCAAAAAAAAACTAGAAGCTCTAACCTCAAACGAGAGTTACATGCAAAAATTCAACATGAGTACAAAGCACATCTACGGATATTTTAAAACGCCCATTTCATTTACAAACAAAAAAAAACGTTCCCTGCCCCCAAGGAGTGTCTTGGCTTACCCTTTCTGGGTAATATTGAACTCAAGACCAATTCACAATTTAACACTTGGAAAAAACGTCATTTCCTAAGTACATAGTCCCCCTGGAGTGTTCTAAGGTAGGTCTACAGAGTAGCATGAAATGATTACATATGTGTGGTTTCAGCTCCACAATGATTAAAGGTATTGCACTTTAAGTTAGTTTCAAAACACCAAAAATACTCATATTTAGTATAATCCTTAAGTTAATTTTGCTGACTTCACATGTGAGGCATTTTACTTTTTTTGGGTATAATTTAAAATGTATTGTAAGTGAACCAAATATCCATCTTGCTTCCACATGGATCAAAAACATTTGGTGCTGGAAGATTGAAAAGTAAGACCGGAAAGACTTTGTTGCTTTTAAAATTACAGCATTTGAAGATGCTCATTCACTAACTTTTCCAGGATATGGGAACACTGCCCACAAAAGATTCACATCAGAAAACCTTAAAATGTTAGTTACTGTTTTGGAAGAATGGTATAGCAACAGTTATTCATCTTGGTCTAAAAGTAACTCATGAGGCAAGAAAACGCAAACTGCACACCCACTTGTTTCACTGAATCATATTCTATTTCACTCCATCACATGTGAATCCCACAGTAAGACTGGAGGAGATGTTCTGAACTGTTAACTACTTATCCGCTTCCAAGTTAAAAAAGGCTGTTTGTATAATTTATCCCTTGGTTCTTAATGTGCCAAAATAAAAACCCAGGGATTCAAACATTACCTAGACATACAGTATTTGTCGCCTTAAGAGAGAGTGTCCCAGATTAAACATTCTCCTGGCAAAAAGTTTAAAAACAGTATATCTAGTCAAAATGTGAGTACTTCAAGAAGAAGCTATTGTATTACACTGTACATCCATGCATTTATGCATTAAATGATACCACAAATTTAATATAAAATGCAGAGGCAGAGAAATTGAGGAGGCTTTAAACAATTTCCTTAATGTGGGATAAACTGTAAAACAGTTAACAGGCGTCACACTACAGGACTCAACACGCCTTCTAGCCGGAGAGAATGTCAAATTTAATGACTGAAGTTGCTGAATCTCACTGCCTTTTTGGTCCTAAAGGGTGTCAAATTATGTGACTAGGAATCGCAGGGGGTGCACGATTCCCTCAACTACTTTTCATCATGGTTCCAAATCTCGTGTTGCACCGCAAAAGTACCGCAAGGTCACCTCATTTGGACAGCCAATCAACGTACTGTAGAGCACACTGGAATAAGAGGAGGAGCACTGCATGAAAGTAAACAAACAGAACAAGCACAAACATCTTGAAAAATGTAACAGGCATTGTTTGCCCACAAATAAACATCTTCAAAAATAATTAATTATAAATATAGAACAAACTTACAAAAATAAAAAGCTTTAAAACAAAAAATATTGTATACAAATATTAGTATTCCTTCTTCGGGTGTTACCCAAAGAAGGCTCCACAGCCAAAACGTTGCGTTTGCTTTCTTCTTTTCAGCATGGAATAAGCCTATTACTTGTTCCTTTGCAGCCTACGCATGCCAATGCAGTTACCCACCTGAACTACTCACAAATAATGACATCTCCCCAGCCTAGAGCAGAGATTTATTTTATTTTTTTTTTTGCTTTGGGGTTCATTAGTTCATGTTCATGGGAAGCATATCATGAACGTCACATTGTTCATCCTTTCATTATACTCTTAGGCCAGTCAAGTCACTCAGATTCAGGGTGCCCTAGGATTAACTCAAAAGGAGTTTAATTGTTGCCATGGCGTTTTAAGTTGTCAATCACACTCACCTATCTAAGTCATCCTTCTTCATGTCATAATTCCTCAGCACTCTCAGCACTTGCACATCCTGACTAAGGAAACAGGGTGGAAGGAGGCCATGGATTCCCAACTGCAGCCTCTCCTCCAAGGTGAAAGCCATTCCCTACAAAACAATCCACAATCACAGTCAAGAAATAGTCTACACTCAAAGCAGCAAAAGAAATTCTAGTTAGCATAGTAATCGAGCCTGTGTATGAAATGCCGTTTAGGCCATTATTCAAACTATACCTCTCACACTCATACGCATAAGTTGCTCACACTCTCCATTTTACCTCTCGCATACACACAAAAACCTCATTCACTTGTTGAACCTCTCATGTACTGTACATACAATGTGAATATGAGAGGTAAAACTAATGAATGCGAGAGCATTTTGTGTGCATGAGAGGTCAAGCTCAAATAATGGCCTAGTGGCACCTCATATGTACAATCACCACAAGTCAGGAAAAAAAGCATATGCACATCAGAACTTAATAGGATATTTTATCAGATTCATGTGAATACTTTGAAACAGCTGCCTCTTTCCATCTGAATGTTTTTTTTTAAATCAGACTGACTAAAACATGTGCAATTTCATATTAATATCCAAACAGAAACATTATGGGTGTGGGTAAGTAGGCATGCTATATCATCCAAAAAGGAATTAGTAACTGGCTGAATTGCAAGCTTCATTTTGCAATATTTTTTTCCAGCGTAAAATAATCCTCTTTTGAGTCTCGCATTCCAATTTCCATAGCTTTTTGTACACATTTGTAATCACCAGCTTGGTTTGTATCACAAGTCATTTAAAGTTGATAAAAGTAAAATAAAAATGAATATTGAAAAGATGCCCACAGCACAATTTACAGATTTCAATAATCTAAGGCCAGTCATTTTCCCTTTTGACGTTACTCAGCAAAAGTGTGATAAATGCAATGTTTGGCCTTGCGGGTCCACACTGATCGCTATCCTGTTCTGTAGACTAGGTACAGTTCATGTCCCTACAATTGTAATCAATGTCAAGAGCAAAAAACAGTATTTATCTTGTAATAAATTTTTGTGCACCTCATACAGTGAAAGCACAAGATGCAGAAAACCTTCATGCATTTATGAAGTGCTCTTCAAAAATGTTAGTCTGTTGAAAGTGAGCTAAGACCATGAAAATCTAAAGAAAAAATAGCAGAACATGCATTTCTTACATTCCTTAAAGCAATACGTAATTGGAACATTGTTAATGTTGATATGCAAAGAGGAAAAGCAGTCATTCTTCACCACAAACACAGAGCCGACAGGAATGACAATTTACATGCTGTCCCAATTATGCAGAGACAAAACACTGACTAAATATGCAAATAACCTATGTAAGAAAATAGGCGAACAGTGATTCCATAAAGCTCCAAGTCAAGCTACTCAAATTGATAGCAATTAGAATTCCTTTGCAAAAGGACTAACTAAGGCACACTCAAAGGAAGTCATAGAAAAAAGCACTGTATACAAGCATCTCCAAAAGCAAGACCGTAACCCAATAACACTTAATGAATTAGAGAAAACATGTGCCTCAAAAGAATTAAAACATTTATTGACATAGTGAATCAAGAAAGTCTTAAGTTGTCTTGGGTTTTTTAAAGTAAGACCTGGTTACTACTGGGACGCAAGAAAATTAAATCAGAAAGCAGCTTTAAATGGCTGTGGTACCACCTACTGGTCTACTTTGCCCTCTAGACAGTTTCCAATCCAGTGCCCTGGTGTAGTAGCAGGGTTCCCCATCAAAGGAAGTGCCATCCTTCAGATGTGACAAAGGAGTCAGGACTCTCAATGGAGGGTCCCAACTTCCTCATCCGTGAGAAATCAGAGATCAGGAGGGTGTTTTTCAGAAGATTTTGGGTGTTATCCTGGTCTACCTTACTTCCCACTGCCTCTCTGAAGCAGTGTCACTTCTCCAGCCACCACACTGCACTGGAGATCAGGTGGAACAGAGGAGTTGCAATAGTTCTGGTAGACTAAACATGGAACTTTATGAAAAAGCTTCATCCAAAACCATAGTATGTGGTATAGCTTTGCTCCCTGGAGCATTAGGTGATGTTCCCAATGCCATGCTTGTATAAATTGGTAATCTTAAACTTAAATCTATGGTGTCTACTTTAAAAAGGATTCCCAAGTCAATTTATATTGTGTGACTGATCTATGCAATGGAAGATCAGGATTTCTATAAGTGCTTATAAACAAGCACGCACATTATAGTGCAGGAACTACCGTATGCTACACTTTTTGTACCTACCGATTGCAATACTTTAAGAGGTGACAACATTCTCCTATTACCACTGAAGGTCAGTTTACTATATAGTTAAATTATGGGTACGGAACCCAGTTCACAAGGGAATCCAATTTTAAACTATCCCTTGGAAATTAAGAGGACTGAGAAAGGGGATACAAGGATAAGTAATCATCAGATTAAAACTGAAGTGAAACCAACACTAAACCTAGGACGAAAATGCATTATATTATAGTTCGTACTACAGTATATTTAGTGTATATACATGTTCAGACATTAAATGGATATATACAGTATCTTACAATCAGATGGGAAACGGAGAAACTGGGTATCCCATGGTTATTTTAAAAAGGTGAACAGTATTTATTAGATCATTTTGCTAAAACTAATTACTCACCCTCACGTAAGCAAATACTAAGCACCACTGCTGAACATTACAGCTCCATAAGGTCTAGTAAATCCTAAAATTTCCTTTTAGCTATATGGGCACAGACTAAATCTCCAGTGGTAGTACTGTATGTCTAGGGGGAAATATCACATGTTCAAATTCCAATTTCTGAAACTTAGAAATTAAAATGCAAGCATACTAAGAAATATATTTACTGTATGATTGTCTCAGTGTTGACCCTCCAATACAATTTGAATTAAGTGCCTATAGCAGGAATACAAAAAGCACCAGTATTAAAACATTCTACACCAACCTGGAAATTTGCCTCTTGGTACTGTAGCTAAAACACTATGTGTTACCAAGTCCCTTTACTTAAATGGACAGAATACTGAAAGATTTACAACAAAAGGTATTTAAAAAAGAAATTACATTTTTCTTTTCCCAGTGTGGGACCATATTAAGCAAAGGAAGTGAAACACTGGCAAGTAGTTATTTCTGACATGCTTTTAAAGGGGAAAACAAAATCAGATGTGCATCTTATTCTTAAGTGCCTAAGATGGTCCTGAAGAAATGTTTAGAAAAATGAAGCCAGTAAAACACCTGGCTATATACCTGTAAATTGTTTGGGGCTGTGTGTAAGGCAAAATAGGGCTCAACCGAAAAAAAAAAAAAAGTGAACCCATCAGGAAATGTAGTCCTTTTTCATTGGAAAAGTTTCTCGAGGCAAGGCTTAAGATGCCAAAACACACATGACCTGCATGCAGTTCTTTCTACAACTTCCCAAACAAAATCATTTCCCACTCATTCTTCAGACATTAAAATTTCAGAAATCCCAAGTGATTAAAAAAAACGTATAGCTTTGTTTTGACATTTAAGGACATTTCAAATACACTTGCCATGTCGCATTTTTGTTTGTTTTTATAAACATATGCTTGTTGGTACAGTGGAATGCAAAAAAAAAAACTGCACTATTAACCTTTTCTGCAGAAAAAAATAAAGCACTCCTGTCAGTCCAGACAAACTCCAGTGTTTTCATCTGTGGGCCAACTAAAGGTATCACTTGAAAGCTTAATTTCCCCAGAAGACGTGTAAAAAAAAGTTTAAAATTGCTATTTAGACCTTTCCAATTCTCCATCTACGTCCTGCCAGTGCTATGAATTTCTACAATTAAGTCTCCCAGTGAAAAACTGGATTTATTAATACTCAACAGCAACATTTCTGTAAAAGGGCTCGAAAACCAAATCTCAGGAGGCAGTAAGGCAGGGCATATGATGCAGAATGAAAAGCTTTCAGTACAAAGACAACCATGCAAATCAGAATTTTAATTGATATTAAAGATTAAAGCTTTTTGATTACCATGGAGAATTTAGAATCTACATCTGGCGCTATGCTTTCTTCATCCTGGGCTGGGATTAAACATTTGCTCTCTGATACAGATCTCCGTGCCAGGATAATGACAATTTTTCAACATTTTAATAAGTCATTTGCACCTGTGTCTGTTATTCAATAATATAACTACTAAGAACTGGTCAATCTGAAATAATGGAGCAAACTCCAAAAAAGAGTGTACGGTGTTGTTACTGCTTCACAGCCTGTACTAACCCGTTTAAGTGTTGAGTCAAGTCACATACTGTACACTGAGAATGGTGAGATTTGACAAAACACTGTCTTTTAAAATAAAGCATAAACTGTAAAGTTCATCTTTGTGCATCTTAAGATGCATCTATAATTCTAGGAATCTGTTCATTTTATATTGGCAAAGGTTTTAGAAAAATGGGCAACAAATCTGTTTTAAGCCAATCCTACATTTTAGACTTCTAATTGCAAGCAAGCATCTATTTTTCTTTAACCATAAAAGTTTAGTGGACAGGACTACAGACCAACATTGATTTTCTCATCATAATACTGTCAAAACTGTATTCAGTTTCATACTGAATAGTACATGGCAGATTAACAGCAGATGAATACAAATATAATCCAAGATTGATTCACAAAGGACAGGGAAATTAATGTTCTCACCAAGCACACTAAAATAAAATCTTCCCAGCGGTTGATCTGAGTTTGCTTTGAAATGCAGTCATGTTATCCCAGCATGAACCGATAACAGAACAATAGCTTTCCAACATTCTCTGCGTTTTTTTACATCAAGCTCTTACCACACTACACCCATGTTCTCTCATGGGTACACATTTGTTACTCTACAAAACAAGTTTACATATTTTTTATTTTCCTAATTTGAGGGTTCCAAAATGTTCATGCACACCTGTTAAGGTCTGAAGGGACACTACTGTGCCACTACATATCCATATCAGCTGCTCTAAGCCTCTAAATAATGTGCAATACCCATTACATATGGGAAGTTTGGATTTTATAGAGAAAATGTTGTGAAAACTTTCTATTCATGTTTCCATTAAATACAGAGGAGGTATGGAAAGGTACTCAGGTATGTTTTGAGAACACCATA